GCTCAGTTATAATTATCTAAAAGTAACAACATTAAATAATGTCTTTGCTCTTCTCCACTCAAAAGGAGGCAGGGAATCCCAAGTGAGGACAGATGGTCCCACCGTGGGCAACAGCCAACAATGTATCAGATCAGGATTCAGGAAACAAACATATAAGCAATCTGCTTTTAGTAGAAAGGTGGCCACCAGCCAGGGATGAGCAGTTTTGTTTTGAAACAGCAGGCCCTTGGAGAATCTTTATAATATACAAAGATAACATAATGTCACAGAGAAAAGATTAGCAAATGATACAGAGATGAGGCAAAGGCAGAGCTCTCAGAATGCATGCCTTAAAACAAATTCAATCTATTACTGTGAAAGGGGGATAGGCTGCCTCTCCATACACACTCCGTTATCCATCTTATATCTTTTTCCCTCCTTATCCTCCGTTTCCTAATCTTACTTGTCTCCTATCTGAGGATGGCAGTCTTCCTAACTAACTGCTACACAGCATTTGAATGAGTCCTTACAGTGGAGTTATGTTGCTCACCGGGGCATTAACCTGTACAAGATTCATGGCCCGATGAACTGCTTGAATTTATTTAAGAGAATGCACATTTGGATTGAGAGCACATATTAACCAGGCCCGCACCTAGCTCCCAACATGTTTCTTTCACTATACATCAATTGCGTTGTCTATAAATGTGGAAATGTGCTGTTTTAGTTTCAACTTGATGGATTCACAATGCTAGTTTGATTCAAATGTATCGTGTTATTAACAGCCTAATCCCTTAAAATGTTTTGTTTACTCGAATACAAGACTGGGAAAGTGTCAAATTGGAGTAGTGGAGGACTGTCAACTGACATCTTAACACTCAGTCCCCACTATGAAACTACTTTGCAACATACAAAAAACGACAAGCTAATATTCAAGTATGATGGTCGAGTTGATCTGCTGTATCTGTAGTCTTCTCAAGCTAAATTGGATAAAGTTATGTATAAACCCCACTAGCTCAGGACCGAACCCATCCACATATGACCTCAGACGCTCATTTGAATTGATCTCCGATGCAGCCTCGCCATTAGAGATCAATACATCATGGTAAATAGAGCTTGTGCACAAATCATGGTACATGGAGCTTTGAAGAGACACTCGAAACTGCACATTTGGAATGACTGCGAGCGTTAGAATTGAGACGAATGGAAACAGGAACTGAGCTATCTTTTCACCAAATCCAACTTCCATCACACAGGCAGTCCCACAGCACTCAGCTAAAAACACACTGATGTTTTTTTTTGAGTAACGCTCCACAAGAAAGCAATGTACTTTTGCTTATATAAGTTGAACAGTATTCCAGCAGCACCCACACACACAGCTCGTGTTTTTTTTGTACGCCAAAGCTGGAGAGCGGATCACATGGAGAGCGGCTGCTCGACCTCAGATTGAAGAGGAGCTGAAATAGTCCTTCTGCCCAGGGGACGGTGGGGGCGGCTGCATGGGGACAGGGTGGGGGGTGTGGGATGTGGGGGTTGATTGGAAGCTGGAGCAGAGGGGAAATGTGCATCATGGGTCCCATGACTCAGTATGCCTCTCTGAACAATCTGCACCCTGAGGGGCTGCACAAGTCCTATCCAGTAAGTAGGCCATGTACACAGGGGGAATTAGGCCCATTGGTGCCCTGTGATGGCATCATCCACACTTTCTTTGACCACTGAGTGAAACTGACACTTTCTCATAAAGGAAATGTGCCCAGCTTTTGGGAAATGGATCTAATTGTTATAACTGAAGTTTTATCTTTGTGTTGGCTCGCATGCCTCCTTTAGTGCTTTCTGCATGACATGACATGGCACTACATTCCTCTCTGCTCAGCATGTATCAGGCTGGGGTGTTTCTGGCTCATGTTTTCAGTGTTTATGAGGTATTAAAATGTGTCGACGCCGTCTCATTTACTTCTAAATTACCACAGAGTAATGGGCCAGTGCGTTTGGAAAATGAGCTTCTCTAGTGGCCTGCGTTCTGCTGCTGTGATCAGGATAGCAGCTTTTTCCCGCCTCTATGCTTTCACCTCAGCGAAAACCTTTTTCCAAATAGGTTTATATTTGATCTGCCTTTACTTTGCTCTCAATTTCCAGAGAGAGTATTATGGCTTCATAAACGCGGTCTCAAAGTTTACTATGATGCAAAGGATATTCCTCATCTTTTTCTTCAAGTTTGATATTTTGTCAGCAAAGTGCATCTAACCCCATCCAAAGATATGCTTTGTAGCGCATAAAAGCACTTCGTATCTGCATTAGTGGTTTCGTTTTTCTAGCCTTCAGTCTTCTTGACAGTTTAAGTATAGACATTTGCAGTTTAAAACTATTTTCTAGGCTTAGCCAATTCAAAAACATCACTTCATCACTTCAACCATTAGTGCACTTATTGTAGATGCCATAGTGACAGCAAATGAAGGAAACTGTCTGCGGAAAAGCACTTCATGTTTGCAATACAGTTTCCCAACAAACATTTGAGCAAACGGGCACACTATTATGACGTAGATTAGATGTGTGACTTACTTACATGTTGCATGACTCAAAAAAGTGTTTTAATCCTTTAGATTATCCGTCATAGAGTACCACAGTGACGCGTCCTAAAACCTGGAAGTAAGTTAGCATTTTACCACTTCCGGTTCCTTCGACAAAAAACAATAACTTTCGAATCATAAATCGAATCGATAGATTTATGATCGATAGATTTATGATTAGAAAATTATAAAAGTAGGGTAAACATGCGGATATTATCCGGCTGAACAAAATGTGATCCGTCTCTTCAATTTGTGTCAACCACAGACCTTATTTCGAGCTATTTTCCAAAATCCTATGGAGAAATTGCATTGGTTTTTGTCGAAGGAACTCCTTCCGGGTTTTAGGACGCGTCACTGTGGCGAGAAGCGAAGTCCCTCCCTTAAAATGTGTCGTAAAAATGTGAAGTAACACTTTTTTGTATGAAACCGCTCAATGAACTACATCTCCCGTCTCGCACCACACACCAAGACGGCCGTCACGTTGGCACATTTCACCTCTTTCTTTCAGAATGAGGCGAAAAGTATTAAACGAGGTGAAAATCACTCCAAGTCTGGGCGTGTTGAGAGCTGTACATACACACAAGGGGAGTTAGTTGGTTCCGTAAGAGCCAGCATGCGGGACCGGGATTCTGGGATTTGTAGTCTTTCTAGTTGCGTATTTTTCATTGTCTTATATTTCAACAGTTTTACGACAAACTATGACTTTTTTTAACATGGAAATTATTTTTTAAGATTGACAAACATCATATGTGTAATTCGTGGCACAATTCAAACGGGATTGAAAGATAATTTTTCTCTCTCCATTGACTTCAATACATAATTTTTCCGAAATAAGGTCCCATGGGGCGGAAGTAGATGGGCGAGACTTCGCCTCTCTATTGCGAGTGCTTTTCAGCTGCGTGCTGATCTATCCTGTCTGATATATCTCAATACTTATAAGATGGATTGCCATGACATTTTGCAGAGACATTCATGGTGTGGGTGCTTAAAGGGGTCCTATTGTTCAAATTTCTAGGCTCTTATTTAATTGTGTTCCTCTACTGTGACGTTTCCATGCTTTAATATTCAAAAAGCTCTTTATTTTTCTCATACTGCCTGTGCTGCAGCACTTCTTTTCACCCTCTGTCTGAAACCAGAGCCCAACCTGCTCTGATTGGTTAGCTGGCCGGCTCTGTCGTGATTGGTCAACAGCTTAGAGATACCCCTTAGCCTATCACGTACAATGTGTTGACGGGATGAAAGAAAATACCTCTGGAGGAAGCTTAATCATTTTTGCCTTTGCTGACCATTTACATGCACAAATATATCAAACTACAGGAAAGGGAAATCCCAATAGGGCCCCTTTAAAGACCTGAAGACGGTTGATCCCTTGACTTTCCCTCCAGCACCACCAGCAGACATCTAATGGTTTTGCAAAGTGAAATATTTCTGCAGCTATTGAATTGGTTCCTATGAGATTTGCTTCACAGATGCATGTCCCTCTGCGGATGAAGTGCAATAACTCCGGTCATCACTTAACATTTCCACCAGGTCAAACATGTCATGTCTAATCAGTCCTATTCTAGTTGAAGCAAAACAATGGTCTAAATTCAGACTTTCTTAAGTTTTTTTTATCAAGAATAAGAGAGGAGTTATACAACAGAGGCGATGTGTCTTACTGGATGAAATCCTTGCATCCATTTGGTTACTGTTGGCCTTCAGCATGTCAAAAAGCCCCTTTCCCTCACATTGTTCCCCATGGGTGTCCAGAGGAGAAAAGTGTTTCACTCGGATCATGCATTATTCAACTCTCTGAATTCTCCGGCCATTCGTTGAAATATTCAACCTAAGCACTTTTTGTGTACTTGTCACTTCAGGTCCCTTGTTCCTTAGCTGCGTTTGTTCGTCAATTGCAAATACACGTTTTCTTTGCCGAGGCATGAACAAAAGTCCCCAGGGGGGCAGCACTTAGGGTGAAAAACATCTACATAAGGACAGAATTCATCATGAAAATGGAGCGGTTAAAACATGGGTCTTTTTGTCACAACCTGTCTGAAAGGATCTGCTTGAGTGGCTAACTGTGGTGTGCTGTTCTCTAGGCCAAAGTCAGTCTTATTCAAGGCTTTTAAGAAAATATGTAAATATGGTCATCTGTAACATGGTAGGGCAGAGAAACTAGATGTCTGTTATCATGCCAAACTGTAGTGAAACACAAGGTCAGAAAGACTGACTTGAATTGAAAAGGTAGAACCATTTTTTTAAGATGTTGCAGTCCGATCAGCTCTCACGGCCTTTGGCTATCATATAGTGTGCATCTTATTGAGCCATTTCTTTCCTGGCAAATTCAATTTAAAACCAGATTCATATTGCCATTGTCTGGCCCTTATGAGAAGTCTCCCCCTCTGAATGTGTCAATGCAATGGAAATAATATGATAAATAAAAAACTAACCAGGTTTTCTCTCTGCATGTTTTCCTAGGTTGCATTTCACATCCAATCATACAGAGAACGAAACGACCAGAGTGTGCACGACAACATCAAGTATATCATTGACAGGTAGGCTGCACTTCTCCATCACCGACTCAATTTAAGAAGGAAGTCATTCATATTTCATGCTCAGTTAAAGGAACATTAGTTACAGAACAGACATACTTCTTGAAAGCATTTCTGATTATATAAGGCTAGTTTCATGACTTATGGATGACTTTTTCAAGCAAAATGTTAGTATCAAGGTTGCTCTGAAAAAGGACTGCAGATTAAAATAAGCCAGTATGGCTAACTCGACTCGGACTCGAAATCATGACTCCAAAAATATCCAGTTTCCAACACATTTTAACAAGAAATATTATCCTTAGTGTATTTACAAAATTAAATGTTTTGGAGCACCTCCATTTGGTTTAATTTGGAAACGATTTGCTGGACATTCATGCCGGTACCCAGAGGATAAGTATCTGGCTATTTGACAGCAGCTTAAAATACTTTTGAAGACAACATTTACTTGCCATTTAAATAAACATACTTCGGACAGATGCTTATTTACTCAAATGTAACAAACAGTTACAGAGTCATGTTTAATACAAGCCAATATTTACTATATTTTAGCTGGATTTGTTCACTTCAAAGCATCTCCATTCTTCTCTATGGTCTTGTGCATCATTTCCAAAATGTATCCAGACATATTTTGCATATTTAGAAACCTTTGGATCTCAATTAGTACATAAAAGGAAGCTCTGTTGGCCTAACACAACAATAAGCTGCATAGTATGAGTTAGTACAGACTGGCCCATGGTGGCTAATAGCTTGTTGATTGGTTTGAAGTGCCATCAGGCAAAAATAATATCCACTTGTTCCCAAGATATAATAAATAAGATTCAGGGTCCCCAGAGGATGAACTCTTCATTTTCCAACATGAGCTTTCCTCTGCTGTACTCCTCGTATTCCACATTCAACAAAACCAGGCCGATTGTGCCGACACCAGGAGAAGGGATATACACTTTGAACACATCCCATCACTGAATCTCTGTAAACAAACAAGGTTGATTATGTTGACACTAACAAACTATGTAACTGTCGTCTTTTAAAAAAGGTATGGTGACCATGGAGCCTTCTTCAAGTATACTACCAACACAGGGAAGAGCCTTCCTCTATTTTACATCTACGACTCGTACCTGACTCCTCCAGAGTCCTGGTCTGAATTCCTGACACCCACCGGTGCCCACAGTGTGCGAGACTCAGCCTACGACTCCATCTTCATCGCCCTGATAGTGGAGGAGCGCCACAAGCACGACATCCTCGCCGGGGGCTTTGATGGCATGTACACTTATTTTGCCTCCAACGGTTTCTCCTTCGGCTCTTCTCACCAGAACTGGAAGACAATCAAAGCTTTCTGTGACGGCAATAATCTCATCTTCATCCCCAGCGTTGGACCCGGTTATATCGACACTAGCATCCGGCCGTGGAACAACCACAACATGCGCAACAGGGTGAACGGTCGCTACTTTGAGACGGCCCAGCAGGCGGCGCTCAATGCCAGGCCAGAAATCGTCACCATCACTTCCTTTAATGAATGGCACGAGGGGACGCAGATAGAGAGAGCGATGCCCAAAAAAACTGTGACTCGTGTTTACTTGGACTATCAGCCACACGGACCCGATCACTACCTGGAGTTGACCCGTCGCTGGGCAGAGCAGTTCAACAAAGAGAAGCAGCAGTGGCTCATGTGAGCTTTTAGACAGACTTGAAACGGCATGCTATAGTGAAGAGTGTGTAGTGTACACATGAAGGAGAAATATAGGGGGGTGAATGTGGGGGGTGAATGTAGGAGCTGTTGAGATGTGAGTGTATAAGGACATGCTATGACCTTCAACAAGACAAGATGCGCGAGTTTCTGTGCATGCATATGTTTGTGCACACATGCTGATCTGGCAGGTTAGGACACTGTGTCCTCAGTACGAATTGTCCTGGTTGGGTTTTGGGGTAAAGCTGTAATAAAGGGTTATTCTGGGGACGTTCTGAAATGCTTCGTCAGCAGTCTCTTGCTCTTTTCTAAATTAATGCAACTTAATAAACTAAACAAACACACTAAGAAAACTGTAACCATGAAATAAAGAATCCATTACAATCCCCCGACACTTAATGCACACTTTATGTCTAACACTGTTTCTGTATACAGATGTTCCAGTTTACCAGAAGGATTGATTGAGGTGAGGACATGGTGTTTAAAAAGCAGTAAGTGAGGGTTAAGCAAGTGGCAATAACAGGTTAGTATTTTGTAAATACTTGAATTCCCTCTCTGGCAGAAGATAAGATTGATACCACTCTCATATCGGCCTGTTAAATATGACACCAGTTAGCTTAGCTTAGCATAAAGACTAGAAAAAGGGAAACAGCTCAGTTCTGTCCAATGATAACGCAATGAATTGACCAGCAGCACATTTAAAGCTCATTTATCAACACATCTTCAAATCTAGATTCCCCTCAAAGAGTCAGTTGTTATTTTGTATTATTTGAAATAACATATTTGAATTTTTGTTTTTGTAGTTATTTACGATTTTTTCAAATTTGTTTAAAGAGGCTGTGTTATTAAAACTAATGATGAGCTTAACAAACATTTCAGAAAAAGTACGTTTGTTGGCAAGTAAAATAATATACCCTGAAGTGTAAAGCATTCAGATTAGCATCAACATCAGCATAAGTCAATCCATCTGGAAGTAAAGTGAATCAGACAGCCCGTCTTATGGCTGCAAAAACAGTCCAAATATAGCAACATTTCCCTAATATTTACAGATGTACCAGTTAGCTAATCTGAGATTTGGTGTCATTTCCTTTTATGGAGAGAAGCCATGTTCATCGTGGGCAACATAACCTTCAGTTACTTTAATAAAAACAACTGAATGGGAAGTTTTAAGGCCAAGGCTCTATGTTGAAAAGTGGATAAATGAATAGAAATGTACCAATTCCTGGAGCACTCTGTTATATGGACTCGTTTGATAAAAGCCTGCTGTCTATTCAAGTAAAAGGGTACTTTAAATAAAAGTATGCTGGTACTGAGTGGTTTCTGCTGGTTGTTTTTTCTTTCTTTTCAAAAAGACTAACCTCCAGACACCTAGGGTGTTTCTCAATGTCGAGGACGCTTCCTTGGAAGGACAAGTCCCTCCGAGTCAGGTCCTTCAGAAGCGAGACAAGAATCCTTCCTAGCATCGGAAAACGAAGAATTGTGGAACAGGCTAACAGGTGTGCGTCATATGAGAGGCCCCGCCTTAAATTGAGCGTGATTTCCGCCAAAGATTTGGAAATTGGTCCGTGCGCAAAGCATTGTGGGGATTTTAAGACCGCGGAGGATACACATGTGCAGCCTCAAAGTACGCCGGCCTCGGTAGAATTCCAAGTATGCTGGACATTGGAACAGTTCTTCGGCGGCACTCAATGACGTAGCATCCTTGAAATAGTGGCTCTGGAGCAGCTTTCCTCGACATTGAGAAACACCCCTAGAAATAAAATGCGGACATACTTCTCATGCATGACGAATAAGACTTCAATACTGCAAAAAATATTTATTGTGGCAATGCCGAGGTTTTACAATCCATCAAAACAAGTTAACGTCAGCCGATGAGAATCTAAAAAATAAGTTTTAAATGAGCAAGTTGGCAGTCGTATTATTGTTTATCCATATGCTCAACATGCCAATCAACAGTAGTCAGGATGAAATAGTACAGTATTTTCAAGGTAAATGCAATGTATTTTAAGCTACAACAGCAGGATACCAATTATAGTGTAAGTCTGTCAATGTCAGATTGACAAGCGGATCAAATAAATATAGGGGATTCATAAGTTAATACAAAATAAATCTAGACTCAACAAGTTTGATGTATAATCCATGACATTCACAGAACTTCTCCCATCCCTTATTTTATTAAAGACTATTTCAAACCATAAAATAAGTGCCTTAACACCTCTTTCATTATAGAAATATTAAAATAAAAACTACATCTCATGTATTCTCTTCTTAGCCTCAAAGCTTTGACAATACAAAGAAGATAGTGTATATTTTATAGAACAACCATCAAATCCCATACTATGTAACTGACCTTTTTCTGAACGAATGGTCCAGAAATGTGAGACTCTGAAACCCCAACATAATAAGCAAGGCATGAATTGTGTTCATGGAGAGAAGAGAAGTTACTCCAGACCTTAAAGCAGCCACCAGAAAAATATCTGCCATCACGTTTTTCCTGAGTTTGAGTCCTTCCCGCAAAAGATCCATTTTGATTGTGACCATGAAAATAATTCTGGAGAAGCCCCCCCCCCCCCCGCCGGGGTCAACGCTGTTTGTGCGTCTCAGCTTGTGGAGTGTGGAGAGTTCAGACAAGGTCATTCTTCCCCGAGTCCTCTGACAGTCCGTATTTGTGCTCCAGCACATCAACCGTTGAAGAGAGGGCGCTGAAGACAGAATCAGAGTCATTTCATGTACCGAGCGTCCTGAAGAGCCATGTTTGAATCTGATGTAGAAACACCATTAATTACTACGGCATTTACATATCCTGAATCCACATGCTTTGTTTACTAGTTTCCCAGATATTCATAATCTTCATAATCACATCTGGTGCTGCAGGGGCAGCACCAGATGTGCGGTGGAGCACATTGTGATGACAGTGTTGCTTTAATAGAAAGCACAGCAGTAAACCAAAAATAACTATCTAGGAAATTAGCCTGTACTTCTCCCTTTGCTGCAAATGTACTTACCTGCAAAATCTGAAGACGTTATTACTAGTTTGCATACATGTGCTTTGTCTCTTGTGCTATGACTAACAAATGTAAGAATACGTTTCCTCTTTGCTCAACTTTTCCCTGCTAATGTGCAAGGGCAGTCATCAGGGCCTCAAATCCATACTACAGTAAGTACTAACTCTATACAGAACATGTAATACATACTGCTCCTTGTATATTTGTTACAGCAGTTCATATTGAATTCAGCAATGATGCAATATGTATAACATCAGTTGTCAATAACACTGCAACTTTGGAAAGCTACTGTTGATTTCACTTCACAAAGAAACATAAAACATTTTTTCCCAAGCTTTGTTATGGAAAGAAACAATACCTTTAAAAAAAAAAAATGTTTTAACAATGCTGTCTCAATAGTGACACTTTAGGAATGACACTTCCATGAAGTACACTGTGTACACTATTCACTTACTTGGGTAGTGCGTGAATTTCGAAGTGTCTTCTCAAATCTCAAACGGCTGTTATTGACTAGCCAGAAATGAAAATCCCAACATTTGACTGCTTCTTCTTATTTTAATGGCACATTTCAAACAGCAATTGTCACCCGCATAATATTATATCATAATATTGCTTACTTGAAATCTGTATGATTCTGGTGTTCATCGGAGCGATCGCAACACGGCTAAAGCGCTGGATAGTAAGACACTATAAGTAGCCCACACTTTGCCATACTTGTGGGTATTAACACACTAATGCACTCATAGTATCAAGTGTAAGTATGCAAATCAGGAAACAGTCAAACATTTTGTTCGAGCTTTTTTACCACCACTTAAAAAAGTATTTTTATATTTTCCACCTGTAAGCATCCTCCAAACTAGTACTCAAAACAGACTGGATTTAGTATAATATGCATACTGTCTGCTTTGAGTATACTACATGTTGTCACCTTTCCCCTTTGCATCCTAGAAAACCCCTTTAGAATCAGAATGTAAGATGAATCTGGGACACTGCATATGTATATTATGAAAATGCACATCATTACTCGGTTGATGATGTAGTGTTGTGCAATATTACATTACCAGATAACAAACTGCAGCATCAGCCTCATACAGATAGCTCTAATCAATATTTAGGAAAAAAAGACCTGATCCACCATATCACATCCTTTGTACTCAGTACTTTTGTGACCTTTATCTTTCAAATCTATTTTGTGAACATATACAGTGATAAATAGTCAAGAGGCCAAACACATATATCATTGGTTAAATGTAAAGCCACCTAAGTGCTAAAGTAATTGCTCAGTGCAATTTAAGAAAAGCTGACCATATAAGACCAAGTTTGTATTATTTGTAATAAACTTTTAATAGTTCTTTGTGTTTTGTAAAGGTTAAGTGTTCCTGTATACCATATGATTTCATATAGAGAGAAAAGGGGCACGTCTAGCCACAGCTAAAGTGTAAGTTAAGTCAATAAGAGCATGAACTCACCAGCCTGGTCTGATGATGCGGTATTTGCCGAGTACTGATAGGTCCACCACTGTTGATCCGAGGCGGCTGTGGTCTCCTATTGGTCCGTCGTCCACCACCACTGCGAGTTTGGGCCAGAGCTCCTGGAACTCCTTCAAGAAGAAAAAGGAAACACAGCAGCATTAACTAATCAACTTCAATAACAACGAGATTTGAGTGAGAGACACCCTTTCAACTGGAGTGAAGATGCTGGAAAACCTACGGGGACATTTCTAAACATATTAAATGTGAGACTGATGAAAAATCATAAATGTTTATACTTACATGCACTTCCACAGTACTGGTGTGTGAGCTGATGTTGGCGCTGGTTAGTGCCAGTGGTTCAGCGCACATCTGGCAGAGGCGTCTCATGAAGCCATGGTCTGGGATACGTACGCCAACAAGCTGAGGACAAATAAACATGAACATTTATTCATCTATAAAACTTGTGTTTGCATTTTCCTTAAGAGTCAAATCCAGATTCAAAGAGTGGACCTACTGAGGTAAAGGGGTTGAGATCTGTGTTGAGTACTTCAGATCTTTCGAACACCAGAGTGACGGGACCAGGCAGCAGGTCGGCTAGCAGCGCCTCCTTCACCTTCACTTTACAGAACCTGACCATGGAAACAAACAATGATTATGTTTAGAAGTGCTACAAAGCTGCCGGAAAACAAGTCATTATCTATGCAATGTTAGATACTACTGCACATTTCCACATTGCAATTCTGACAATATGAGGTGCTTATGAGTACTTTTCCCAGTAAAGTTCCGATATAGTTCCAAAAATTTGCGTTCACACCAAAAAAATCCGGAACTAGAACTTAGTTCATGAGAACCTTTCCACCCCCTTTTCAGTCCCTGCTAGAGAGCAGGTACTTTCATGGGAGAAAAAGGTTCCCATTTCTGATTGGCTGGGCGGATTGCAAACCACGCTCCGTAAAACTCCCAAAAAGTTTTGTGAAGCCGCCATTTTATTTGCTTGCATTAGCATTATTAGCATTAGCATCATATATATTTTATCATAATTCTATTTTATTCATTTATTTATTTATTAATCCTGGTCATCTACATGACGATCCGAAGCTGTGTGCGCTACTTGCTGGTCGTAACTGTCAGACCTTTTAATCTGTGTTTTAATATGTCTGTTTTTAAAGCACTCGCTGGAGCAGTAACTATAAATCTCGTTGTATTCTGTACAATGACAATAAAAGCTTTTGAATTTAAATTAGCCCAGCGCACCAACGGAGAGAGACTAACTTATGGCAACACAAAATAAAACGTGGGAGCGGTGGAGTGATGAGGAGATGTCACCATTCTGGCGATTTACTCGGAAGGCTGTAGAAGCTGTAGAAGCTGCTGGGAGTCCCAGCAGCTTCTACTGAAGTCAGTCCCCAACTCCGGGGACTTCCAGCCGGGGACTTCGGGTGGCAGTATACGCCGTGAAGTTGTTTGCGGCCTGCCAGTAAACCCAAAGCAGAAGAAGAAGAAGTGACGTCAGCGGCTTCATTTGCCTAATCCTCCCTCAGGGACTTATTCCGGTGTGAACGCGATCTGCTCTTTAGTTCATCAGAACTAAGTTCTGATGAACTAAGTACGGCAAAGTACTTGGTGTGAAAGCGCCTATTGTGTCATTTCTTAGTCTGCCTTGTCTCCTCTGTATTACTCTGATCTACCAACAAATGAATTCATGAATATGGTGTCTTTCTGTGACAGCAGGTGTATCTGTCACTGGAAATGTAAAATGTGTCTTGTAGGTGTGAAGAACACATCGCTTCCTCTTCTGTGTGTGACTCATCTGTGGATGACTAACATGTTTGTGCAGTTGTGTGGGTCTGCAACAAACCATCACACGTCTGAAGGACTGACACATACAGTTGGAACTGATTTTTTTTAAATTACACTAACAAATGATAGCTCTGTTTGACAAAAATCATGTCCATCAAACAACAGAATAGCCCCATATCGATCTCTAGTTGTAAAGCAGCAGTACAAACACTTACTTATAGATATCCTGGATTTCTCCGACGCAGATGGCCAGTGGTTTATTTCCATTTCGTCCTTTGATGTCGTAGATTTTTTTGACCGCTTCAGAGTTCTGGGTCAGACACGCCAGGCCATAGATGGTGTCTGTGGGAACAGCGACCACATGACCCTCCTTCAGAGCCTTCACCGTGCAACTCAGGACTTCAGCACCATCTGCAGTTCAGAAAGGGGGGGGGGCAATAAGGCATCATTCACCACAACACACACATAACAATACATTGATGAAAGAAAAATGTATAAACTATTTGAGTTGTCGATTGGGAACGGATTTTGGGGTAATTCATCAATTACATTTATTGTTTAAGATCTGCATATAAAAAGGAGAATACTGATTACACATATGAAAGCCTATGTCCTTATAATAGTAGTCATATTCAACATTATGGAAAAAGTAGAATTCAGCTATTTTGGAGCTACATATATCTCGGATTAGAGCTCCCCTATGTTTGGCATATTGCTCAACATCTTTAAGAAAAACAAAATAATACGTTTGTTTTATCGTTATTTGTATTAGCACAATAATTATGTTTAAATATGTTTCTTCTTTACTCAGGATTTTGAAGAAACCAAGCACCACATTTTCCAAAATAAAAGGAAAGTCTTCAAATATATGATCAGATAACAATTTTTGTGGTGAAAAACAAAGAAAATAAAGTAAGGTGTAACACACATTACGTTTTAAGTAGTAGCACTGCAGTCGAAAGTATTGGACTATGAAATCCGATCTGTGTAGGTGTGTATTCGGCATGTCCAAGTCATGCATGACAGGAATCTGATGTAACATGCTGCAATGTTTACGTTACTCACTGACAAGCACTGCGTGCAAATGCTTCTTCAGTGGCTAAAAATAGCTGTCAAATTCTCAAACTGATGTTATAACAGGGATGCACTTTTGCTGTGAATGTAAGCCGACCTGTGAAGCCCTCCTGATGGACAGACGGCCCGCTGCAGCTCTGCGGTAACAGTCGCAGCACTTTGGTCTTCAGCTCTTTACACATCTCTCCTCCGAGTCTAAGAGCTGCGGCTGAACTGTGAGCTCCTCTGGAGTTGATTAATTCAACAGCGATGTTACAAACAGGCCTCATAAAAGCGAAGCTACAGCAGTGGATGTCTCATTTCAGCCGGGGAGCATGTTGTCGCCTGATGAAATAACAGAGTGCTTCCGGGTTACGCCCCCAACACAATGACGCGTTTTTCTTAACGGGCCAGCAGCACGTTGCTTCATAAAAAAAGGTTTTAGTGAATTATATGTTTTTTATATTTTATTGTAATGAGTCCAAAGATGACATTAAATGAAACATTTGATACAAAAATTGATCGGTTGAAAAGTGTATTTTTGTACAGCTGTCCTTAAATTATTTGGAATATTTTTTTAACAGTTCTGTGCTTTTTTGTTATCTGTTGATGTGTTTTTTGTACTATTATGGTAAAAAACTTGTATGCCGAAAAGCACCGTCAAACAGAACCCATTTTAAAATGTAGACAACTTAATAAAAAAGTTTTGCTTTAAAGATAAATAGGCTAAATGACCAATCTTGGTATTTAATGGAACTTTTTCAAACCGTCCAGACATAGCACATTTAAAAAAACATTCCATTTGTATGCTTCCAGGTGTGTTCCTTGCTTCACTCATTAATTAGGATAATTTAAGGCACCTGCGAGCATTGACTTAAATAATCTGAAAGCAGGGGCAACATAGACATCGACAGTTTACAGGACATGAAATAACGTTTTAGTCATGGATTCAAACACAGGTAAGAAAACATGTAATTTTCAGCATACTTTAATGTTATTAAGTAGTCTCGAAGTATGTTTTAAAAAAGTTACCTGTGGTACAGAAGCCCCCCTGGCCCTGCAGACAGATGAAGGCGTTGCAACGGACAAACAGGTGAGCCACTATCTGAGCTTTTGATGTCTCTCTGTCCAAAAAGGAACTCATTTATCGACATGTTTTCCTCCACAGGAACTGGAGGATGTCAGCGACAGACTGGCGACCATTTCAGATCATATTACAATATGCGACCAAATCCTGAATGACCTCAAAGAACTAAGTGACATCCTAGTGGTAAGCTCCCTCTTTTCTCTTTGTACTTATGTGACTTAATGCAGATTTTGTTTTTTACTTTTTCTTTATTTCCGCAGAGAAAATCTCTTCAGGATGTGACATTACCTCTGCAGGACTGACCAGAAGTGAAACTCTTGAATTTGTTTTAATTCTAAATAAATAAAGATGTCAATATCAATTTGATCAGTAAGACTTCATTGAGATGGAGAAGCAAACATTTCAGTGACAATGATAAGGTTTTATTGTATTATATTGCTCTCAGTCCAGAAATGTATTTATAATATTACTTTGTACGAAACAAGCAAACATTTTCACATTATACATTCTCTTTAAAAAAAATACAAATCCTTAACAATTCATCGCTCTTTGGGTGTCAAGACATTTATTTCGAAGCGTATGGTTTTTTCTTTATTTTGCCCAAATGGAGAAATGTAAGGAAATCTTGAAGTCTATTTCCAAAAACACTTAACAAGTTGCTTCCAAACAAATGTCTCCTCCAGTGATTTCTCTTGTTAAGGTCAACTTAAACAGAAAAACCCCTGGGCCACATGTCATTTATAATGTATCTGCTTATTGATTAAACAAATAAGGGCAGCTGTTGAACTTTTATTTGTGATGAGGCAACAAATAATTATGAAGTAAAAAGCTGAGATGATTACATTAATGGCGTGAGCCCAAATAAAACATGTTTACGCGTAAAGTGTAAGAGTAAGAACAGAAAAAGAAGCTGCATACATTTGACCAAAAATAATTCTTAAAACAGAATTTAATGATTCATTCAGTAAATACTCCTTCAAACAAGTCCAGTTGGTTCGAACAGCATGTCAAAGGATCGCTGTGTTGCAACATTCATGGGATCAGTACCTTAAACACAACTCCAAATATGAAATGCAATTGACTGGAGTTCAATAAACATTGTTCTGCCTATAAGGTTGTGGCAGGATATCATTAAATAGGGGGTGGGTGGGGGGGGGGAATAAATAATCTTTATTTGAACTGGATGCCACATGTAAACTTGCATAGTTGTGTTCTTTGACTGTATGCATTTGTGATCATATGTATTGATGGGATAAACTGGCAGCCATTTTGCCGAGTGCTTCAACAGGGAAATGGTGAGTAAACGATTTTGTAATCCAAGTGCAAACTCCTGATCTCTAATACTGCATACATGGAATGGTTTAGAGCACAAAATGAGTAACTGCAGCCTTTCACAACATTTCTTACTGCCTTCTTGGCACATTTGTATCGAAGGAAAGCTTCACTGTTCAAAAGTTTGGCAGGAAAACAAAGAAAAAAAAAAGGCAAGACAAATGATGTGACATGCACATTTGATCCTACAACCCGGATCCAATATATCTTCACTCGTTACGCTGCATATCCAGTGATGACTTTCCCAACAGACGGCTGTTTCTAGTCAAACAAAAAGCTTTTTCTGTCTGGATGCGTTTGCCTCATTGTGATCTGCTGCTGTGTGATTGCCTGAGACTCAATGAAGGTGAGTGTGTCGGCGTTTCAATGGCAGGTCTGTCTGAAGCAGAGACTGTGAAGGCAAGGAGGCTCACAGGACAGTTTGTAAGGCCGAGTAGCTCCACACTCTAGTATACAGGGCTTAATGCCTACGTTCTATCATTGCATTGTGTCCCGTGTGAAACAATACTGTTGAATTATACTCTGAGCATATATATTTTGTTAATATGGGGGACTGTACATAAAGCCCAGATGCTTGATTCAACTAAACACAGCAACAACTAATCTGCATAAATGTGACTGTGTGAATGCAAGGATAGGATAGAGGGTAAGCTCCAAACTCTGAGAGTAAGTAATTCAAAAGTCTATACAAAAATACAAATTCTAGAATAATCTACAAGTTTCTCAAAGATGTTTACACTAAAATGTACTGTATTTACACTGTCGCCAGGACACCATCTTTTTTTGAATGCTACTTTACAGCAGTTGTGTACAAAAGTCTGTAGTGGTTCTGCACCTCAGCCAACAAGCTGTCAGATCACTCACTTTACAAGTGTGCATTAGCAGGGAAGAGTGCAGCCAAACGAAGGGCGAGCGAGGGGCGTCTGGTGAGAGAGCGTTTGAGGAACAAATGAAGGGAACCAGGATCACTAATGACTTGATGCATCCCTGAGAGGGTCACAACCCTATAACATATGGGATGTTGACAGTAGTTCCTTACTGTTTCATGTGGACAATCTTTGCAAACAAGAGGATCCTCGAGAGTCATTTCTTTTACTGTGCAGTCTACTGTAGAGGCCTATTTTCTCTAGCTTGCTTTTAAGCAATACCCATTACGTTCTCAACAAAAAGAGAAGTAGGAAAACATCAAATCAGTAACACAAAAACAGCTCAACACAAAAGTACAACAAGTGATTGGAATAAATTATTAGATTTCTCTCTGCTATCTTGAAGATAATTGCCAGTATAATGAAAGAATCAAGTATTTAAATAAATTAACATGTACAATTTTAAATTAGTTTAAGTTATAGGCAACTTATGAAGTATTAATTTCACTTAAAAAACAGGCAGATTGGATCCCAGGTTCTTTTCTCAATTGGTAAATAACTGTCAAAAGAAGTAAAAAAAAAAGAAGGAATAATCACATTTTCTGGACTACACTAGTCTTCCTAGGAAACAAAAACACTGAGGAATTACTTCATATTGAGTATGAGGGGTGTGTGGCCAACCCCGTCAAAGTCCTACTGGGAGCATTGCCTATTCAAATTAAATTCCTCTAATATACAGTGCATTCTGGTCCGTTGCATACCAGCTAGAAGCATTCGTTAGGACCTGTAGTACAGTACAAGGATATACAGACACGCTTTGTTTTCCTGCTCAGGTGTCTGACCTTCAAGCCAGGAACATGGAAATATGAAGTCATCAGTGCTTGGACAACACTCATTTGTTTCGATTGATTCAGAGTGAATATCGAGGGTTATCATGTACACTTTGATTATGTTCATAACAAGAGGATCTACTGCCTTTCCCTGCAATCATTAGCATTAACGTTGCTAAATCTCAATAAGCAAACTAATCCTGTTTTTAACGACTACAAAGAGACTCAACAGAAACAAAATCACTTATAGTTCATGTATATGTTGCAAAATGCCACACAGAACCGAATGCACTGCAGGTACAGGGGAGGGGTTCCACACACACACACACACACACACACACACTATATAGGGAGAAAGAAGTGGCATCGCTGTGGAGAAGCACTCGAGAAGTGGGTGGATTGGCTGCCTGTTGATGAGTGGGTGCAGCGGGGAACACATGGTGCCAGGTGCAGCGGGGAACACATGGTGCCAGGTGCAGCGGGGAACACATGGTGCCAGGTGCAGCGGGGAACACATGGTGCCAGGTGCAGCTCTTCTAAGGATTGCCATCAGTGGTCATGCTGAAGTCATGAGCTTGCAGCAGCAGAGCCTCGATGGTGTCCTCCGTCTCCGGACTCTGCAGGGAGAGGAAGTCCGACACGTCCATGTTGGCTAACCCTTCAGACAACGGAGGGTTCGTGGCCGTGCTGCTTACTATCGAGGAAAAAGTCTGAGCTCTGGAGGAGGAGGAGGAAGCAGAAGAGGGGGCCTCCGGTATCACCTCACCCACCTTTGAGGAAGACTCGGTGCTTGGAGTAGAAGTAATAGAGGAGGGTGGGTGTTGCGGAGGCTCTGGGGGTTGTGAAGGCGGGGGAGGGGGGGGGGAGGAGGAGGGGGGTTGCGGCTGTGCTGGGGTTGAAACAATGGAGGAGGCACTCTTTGAAGTCCTTTCTTTCGCTGCGTCCCTGCAGGCACACTGGCACTGGCAGGACTCCTCCTGTTTGATGATGATGACGGGCAGACTGAGGCCGATCTGCTGGACCGAGCTGCCTGAAAACACAAACACAAATTCACTGAAAACAAGAAGTACACCATTTTCCAAATCTCCTGTAAAGCATATGAAAAGAAAAGGACAATAGTTAGGATGAAATGACAGGGGGTATCTCAATATCAGATTTAACTACATGATTATCGTGGCCAAAAAAAATTATGATAAATATATTGTCAAGGTATTTATACTAAATGTAATAATATTAACATATTTATTTTTATTTTTACCCATAAAAGTAAAAAAGCAAAAACAACAATAACACCAATGGATAATATATGGTGAGAATGGAAAGAAATCAAAATGATTTAAGATCATTTTCACAATTTAATCTCATCTGTTACCATGATATGGATATTTGTTAGGGATGCTCTGATCGATATCGGCCGATACTCACTCTCTGCCGATCGATCGGTGCTCTCTATAAAGGCCGATAGTGAGAGCCGATCACATGACGTAAAATACATGACACTTTTCTCTGTGCGCGGCGAAACAAGCTCGCCAAAATGGCTTCACCGGTCTGGCAGTATTTTAAGGTGTCCGAAAACGACAATAAAATAGCGGGATGCAACGTGTGTGTGTGAAGCAGAAATCCTGCAGCTCCACCCGCTGTGACGGAGCGGTGAGCGGAGCAACACACACACACTAAGAGTTAGACCTAACACACTTAGCTATTTGATCTACCTCTGGAACAAGCTAAACTAGTTATAAATATGTTTATTCTTCACTGTCGGGTCACTCAGTACTGGATCAGTGAGCTGCATGAGACGATACTGACAGGCTGTCGGGAGAGAGAGGGAGAGAGAGGAAAAGAGAGCGCTTCCGCTCATCTCTCCCGTGTTATTATCCAAAGTTAATGTAAACTTGAATAATGTACTTCATTTGAATGTAATAATTATGTTGGTTGTTGTTTGTGGAAGCGCCAGTGAATGAGCCCCATTAACTGGGTTTTAAACATCACTTTAAATGGAAGATCCCCATAGGCCCCGCCCACTCGATCGGATTCCGGCGATCGGCCCCAAAATTGGCGATCGGAGCATCCCTAATATTTGTATTTTAGTAATATCACGGTCAGTTTTAAACTGAGAAGAAAGCAGAGGGACAATATCCCATGTACTGATAGACCTCTTGAAAAAGCAAAGATCAAAAGTTAATTATATAATATTTAGTGGGAGACTGTTTAACTGTTCTAGCACTGTGCATTAATAGAGTAAAAGCTTCTGGGCACGTGTGATTTGAATCTAGTGACAGGATGTTAGTGGAGCTCCCAGGACACCGATCTACTATGTAATGAATCCTATTAAAGCTCAATTGCATTACATGTCAAAACAAAGATGTGATTCAATTACAGGCTTTTGTCCAATGTCCAACACAGGAATTATGGTTCAGAACTCTTACCCGCACTTCCTCCCACTGGTATGGCTGTTGTGAAGAAAACCTTTTCTACTTTTGCACCTCCTGGATGTGCCTGCAAAACAAACATTAAACAGTTCAATCAGGATTAAAAAGCCAGGGACTACTGTAGAAACATACGGTCGATGTGGACAATACTTCTAACGGCCCGTCCACACAGCGGCGTGCGTTGAAAGCTTCACCATTCACTTTGAATGGGGTGACGTCACTTTTCGCCGAACTGCATTGTGGGAAGCGAAGCGGAGCTTTGCTGGCGTGGCTCGCTGCAAAAGTTGAGCAATGTTCAACTTTTGAAGCCTCGGCAGAAGCGTCAGCCAATCGAATCATATGCCAGTACAAGCTCTAGCCAATCAAACGGCTGCTTGTGTGTCAGGGGCGGGAGATTCATGTGATTGGTTGTTGGTCGAGTTTCAGACACGCCCGCCGGCAAGCTTCAACGCACGCCGCTGTGTGGACGGGCCGTAATTGTATTAAAGGACCGTCTGCGTGGTCTAACTGTTTCCTTATAAGTAATATTGATCAAATGAACACTCATTCCTTTGCTACACTTACTGCAAATACACAGTCATTTACAATAACAATTGATTTGTTAAATGTATACTCTAATTTAGTTGTAAACTGCATTGTGTGTTGCAAAGTGTAATCCTCTTACATGCACATTCTCACAATAACAAGAGAAAATGCAAATGATCCATGATAAACTTAAGGACGCATTGCACAATCATAACTGGTACAAATGAGACCTCTGTGGGAGCATTACTCACTTGGTCGGGGTTCTGCTGGTTGTTGGCAGCAGTGCTGAGGATCCACTGCAGGTTTTGGTCAGACATGACCAGGCTGGGCTGCAGTAGGTTGGAGGTGGAGCCTATGGTGATGGTGGCAGGGGTGGGAGCCAATCCCGAGCCAGGGTTTGGGACGGGGATGGAGACAGGGTTGTTGGCCAAAGGCAAAGGTTGAGCCACTGTCACAGCAGCAGTGTCTGTTGGTGGAGCTGCAACAGCCACAGACACAGGGCCTGGTGGTGCTGCGGGGCCCAGCGATGGAGCCACAGGAGGGGATGTGGAGACGGCTGGTGGTGGAGGAGCAGGCGTGATGGCGTTATCCGACTGCAGGAATGTGGGTGGCATTGCCACAAAGTGCTGGGAGGGGGCATTGTTTGGTGCTTTGGCAGGTGCCTCGGCAGGTACATCAGGGGTCTGCTGAGGCCCGGTCACTTGAACGAAAGGTGTGGAGCTGACGGTGGAAGGGGCGGGGGCGGGGGCGGGGGGGGAGGCCTGAGAGGAGGAACTGTGGATGAGCCGTGCAGGAGCCTCCAGGACAGCAGTCGAGTGTGAACAGGAAGATGAGCAGGTGGGATGGAGAGAGAAAGAGATAAGAGACGAGCCGTCAATCCCTCCCCGCGGGGTCGTCATCTCCAGGCTGAATGACTCAATAAGGCTCTCTGAGGAGGGAGAAAAACATCAATAAACAAGAACATTCAAAACGACTTCATCAGGTTCTGAAATGTACTCACCGTGCTGATGGGCATCATCTTGGCTGACACTATTTTCAGGACTCTGGAACATGAGCTCAAATATTTTCACAGGAGTCACATTGTTCAGGTCCAAATGAGCCTGTAATGAAATGAAAACTTAATAAACTCATAATTCCTAAAACAGAGACATGTTGCCAATATAGATGCCAGATTCTTGAATCTCTTGACAACTCTTCGGCTGCGTGAATGTCTGTTTGTCAAAGCTGAAGCGAAGGCCAGACTCACATTATGGATGTTCTCCCGGAGGTCTGAGTCTGTCGAGATGAGACTCAGGTCACTGAGGCACAGCGAGTGATTTGCATCCTGTAATTAAAACATGAATCAGACCTGATTAAACTCCACACTGTTATTTAGCACAATTGTAAAAGAATGCAACACCTGCTGAATAATAATGTAATTACCACACAAGCTAAACTCGCAGCTAATGCCAATCAATGACAATTATTCTTTAGAAAGCCGTGTGCAAGATGTGTTTAGTACGAGTGACTTCACCTAAATCCTTTTTTTCCATTTAAAATGTGTGGTGTAAACATCTCAAACTCCTTTTCAGACAATGGCAACACCTTGCAGGTATAGAGATGTTAGTTTTGTTTGGCCAGCACATGTCTAGAATACCTCACATCTAGTAGCAAAAGTTGACACATTTGCTTGAGAGCATAACACAAGTACTGTGTATGTGACAACATGCACGTGATGTCCCCACATCAAAAGAAATATAGAATCGAAAGAAACAACATCCGAATGCAGTGAATAATATGAGGACCACAGAGTCATGTTGCTGTCATGACTCACTTCAGAGAGCGGATGTGTGAGGGTGACGGTGAAAGGCTGTCCTTTGTCGTGGCCCCGCACGTGACTCTTCAGGCTGTACTGGCTGCTGAACGCCTTCTCACAGCCGTCACTGGTGCAGTTGAAAGGCTTCTCCCCTACAGAAGAGGAGGGGGGGGTAAGAGAGGTAAGAGCTCATCTATACAGCTTAATGAAACTACAGGAGTAACCTTAGCATATTTATAAATAGGTGGAACATGAAAGGTAGATCAGAATATAGGAACTAAGTCAGCAAGTTAGACTGTTGAACACCTGAACCTTTGAAAGAACATCCATAATATTCATGTGTTGGCAACTTATATCAATATTCCAATTACTTGTATATAGACTATTCTGTACTATTTCTATTATATTCCATTTGATTGTATTTACTTGCACTATTTAATCTGTGTTATTGTGTTGCACTGTTGGTGGAGCCTGTGACCTAAGATGTTCATTGTCATATCTACACTGTAGCTATGCACACATGACAATAAAAGCCTTGCATCTTCTTAATGGCTGCTCTTTTAAATACATTGCTACACACACACACATTTGAAAAGGTAGACATTAGCATATATTTGGTCCGGCAATTCAAACCAACTGTGTGTGGGAGGGTTTGGAAAACAATGTAAATGCAAATCAGGCAGAGCTGAACAAACAAAAATGTCCTTGTTCAAAAATATTCAAGGTTAAATAAAACAAATGAGGAATATGTACCTGTGTGTGTCCGTACATGTGTTTTTAGGTGATGACTCGCAGCAAAGGCTTTACCACAGCCATCGTGGTCACACCTGAGGGAAAAGAGGGAACATTATGTCAGATTCGCTATAAATAATACATACATTGATACATTTTGAAGACCATACATTTGAGAATTTTTCAGATTTTTCAATGCACCTGCTAAAATTAAAAGAACTTGACTCATGATATAGCGAACTATCAGATAGGTAAATAATGTGTTGAATACAGAGAGAGAGACACACTTGGTTAAACTTTTAAATAGGAAAAAAACATTGTATTTGTATAAATCAGCAAACATTAGACAGACTAAGGCCACGTTTACACGGAGACGAAACGGGTTGTATCCGCTACAGTTCTCTATCGTATGGACGGTTGGTCCACACGAGGCCGTAACGGAACCGCGGAAACGGAGCCCTCAAGTGATAACGGCTCCCAAGGTGGGTAGATCTGCGGACGAAACGCTCTGGAGGGCCAAACGGTTCCTACGTGTACGTCCTATACGATCATTTCCTGATAACGATGACGCCATAGCCCCGCCTCTCCCCACCTCTGCTGCTCACCCCCGCGTCACCCGCGTCATTGCTGATGTGTTTCACCAACAACAACAACAATGGCGGATCACAGGGTTGCTTTCGTGCTCCAGACGCTACTGACCATGCTACAGCTCCTCCACCACAACCACCAGTAACAAGTGCACATGGAGAACTACATGAACTACATGTTGCTAAATCCACCGCGGAGAATAAACAGAAGGGCAACCAGGCAACCATGCTCGGGGGGGAGTTCTTCTTTGCTGATTTTGGTGTATTTTGTGGCGGAAGTACAGCGCCACTTACAGGCCCGGCATACGTACTACAGCGTCTCCAGCGGGTCGAGCGGTCTCGTGTGGACGGACACGTTTCTGGAGCCGATTCCGTGTGGACGGAAGACTTTTTTGATATCGACTAAGGTTCGTTTTCGTCTCCGTGTAAACGTGGCCTTAGTTAAACTTTTAAATAGGAAAAAAACATTGTATCTGTATAAATCAGCAAACATTAAACAGACTAAAAGAGCTGTCTGTGAGTATCTATTAGTATCATAGCTACTAATGGATTAAAACTGGTGTGATAATGGAAATGCTCACCGGAACGGTTTCTCCCCAGTGTGTGTGCGAATGTGCTTCCTCAGGTCGCTCAGTGTGGTGAAGTACTTGGAGCATCCGTCTGATTCACAGTTGAATGTCTTGCCTGTGTGAAGTCTCTGGTGTGCTTTCAGTCTGCAGAGACAAGTAAATGCTAAGTGTTATTAAACATGCAGAGAGAAACTAACTAAACACAGTGGCAGTGAAAAAGGCAAGCTTCAAATATGAGTGGCATTGAAGATTGGCAGGAGAACCGAATCCACCACCAATGTGTGGCTTTGGTTCGCTGTCCTGAGTACGACTATCTGACAGCAGTGGCACAGCTTTACCAAGCCACAGACATGTTGCCATAGAAACTGAACCAATACCCCCCCACCCCCCATAGTAAACTCGAGAGTGAACAACACAAGATCACAGCAATATTTAAACAGTTAAAATGCTACAAAAACAGGCTTAAAATTAATCAAATATAGAATGAAATTGTAATTGGGGCCTTATGTTGCATCATTATCTGCGGTTTCAAATTCAGACAATTCAGAAAACAGATGTTCCTCATTTATAAATGACACAGAATCTTTTACTGGGATTGTCCCCATTGCAGGTTGCATGACTCTCAACCAGTCAAGTGTCAGTTTACAACCACAGCATTTATGAATGCTTTAAATATGATCAACAATGTGTCTGTATGGCAACAGTATACACATTTAAATTATATTTAATGTTGTATTGTGTCAATCTCATATTGCATATTGCAAAGTTAAACATGTCAGTACAGTGGCAACACAAGTTAGGCCATCAACTGTTCTGTAAGCAGTTTCTACAGTTTTTAAACACTGCATACAGAACCTTTACTACTTATCATGATCTGAGCCATGAGTAGAAATAAAGCATAACTCAGCAGTGTAAAGGCGTACCTGTATAACGTGTTGAAGGCCTTCTCACAGCCATGCACATCACACTCAAACGGCTTCTCCTTGGTGTGAACGCGGACATGGATCTTGAGGCTGTAGGAGGTGAGGAAGGCCTTCCCACAGCCCAGCTGATTACACACAAATGTGTACTCGCCCCGGTGCGTCTTCTGGTGCGTTCGCAGGTTTCCCGCCGTGCTGTACGTCCTGGTGCAGCCTTCGAACATGCACTGGTAGCGCTTCACCTGGAAGAGGAAGAAGACGGAGGGGATATCAGTGCCATGGTTGAATTCAAGATCAAGATTCAAGGCTTTATTGTCATGTGCACATTAGCTACAGTGTAGATATGTTCATGAAAAACCTAAGTCACAGGCTCCTCCAACAGTGCAACATGAATATATTATATAGAACAAATAAAACAGAGAAAATAGTGCAAGAGAATGTTTTGAGATGTGCAAGTAAATACAAATAAAATAGAAAGAGTGCAAGAAGAACTCTAGTGTATGCAATCATCCTGTAACTAAGGAGTAAAATCGAATGTCCTCTCTTAAAAATGAATCAAATCGTATTAAGCCTGTATTTAAAAGCAATGCAAAAGTGAGTGAAAGCAATGTGAAATATTAATCCATCTAAGTATAAATAGCATCAAAGTGTCAGTGTGACCTTTCAGTCGTTACTTGAACTCAGTGACTCAGCACATGGAGCGGGTGAACACAAAGGACAGTCATGATGACTAACCCCCACTGCAATACATCCAACTCAATTCTGTCTCACAGCACCAATCTCCACTGCAGTGTGGCGGTCTCCTGCTCTCTCCTCACACAAAAGCCCCGGGGCCGTGTGAATAAAGGCAGTTCATTCTCTGCCTGAAAAAAAATGCTGTTGAACACAAAGTCAGGAGGAGGAAGCTTGTGGCGGGCCAACAAAAGGGTCCTCTTTATCAGCTGACATCTTTCTTGTAACTGCTCTTGAATGAATGAATAAATCCACCATAAAATTGATGACACTGCTTTTTTTTACCCCTGGCCATATTAGAACAGGCTGCTGAGTGTAACATAAGAAAGAGAAAATGTCATGTTCACAGAATGTAATAATAAAAAAAACATTTTAAATCGGAATATCTGTGCACAATTTCAAAGATAGCAAGGAAACTGAAATTACATGTTTTATGACTGTGAATGTTATGACTGAATAATACACTTAGCAGTTAAATGCTACTGCATGATGATCATGATGAGAGGATGTGTTTGAATGGTAAATAACGACACATCGGTATAAACCCTACCCTGAACAAATCTAATCACACCATGAATAGGAGGACACGTTGTTGTTCATGCAGTGAAAGTGACACAGAGCTGATTCAATCTCCTTTCAGTCTTAATAACAATCACTAATCTGAGTGATGGGTAATCTTCTACGGCCATTCATTCTGATTGTAGTGATGTGGGAGAGATGATTTGTTAAGCAAACATCCGTGCAGAGCTCCTGTAGGAGGCCTGCTAAAGCTTGTCACTTGTATTCATCTCCCACACCATCGTGACTCCACCATTACTTCAATCATTGTGAGAGAGCATTGTATGCGGTGGTTTCCCACATACATAGTGGGAAAAGACTACGAGTATATTTACAGAAAAAAAATCACTCAGTGCTGGATGTTCAATGTCATTGTTTTTTCTTCTGACACTTGGTGAACAGGAGGCTGGAATCTTCTATGGTCTCACAGAAAACCGTCACTCTTGTGTCCTCTCTACTCGTCATGCTTGTCAAAGTGAGGCTTAAACCCTTCTGTGTGGTACAAACTGAATACAATGCACACGGTACAAGTTGCACCACAATGCAGTGTTTCTATATTCATATCAGACTGTGACTGCAACACTTTACTACACACACACACACACACACACACACACACACACACACACACACACACACACACACACACACACACACACACACACACACACACACACACACCACACACACACACACACACACACACACACACACACACACACACACACACACACACACACACACACACACACACACACACACACACACACACACACACACACACACACACACACACACACACACACACACACACACACACACACACACACACACACACACACACACACACACACACACTGGGATTTCATGTAAAGACTCCTTCAAAAGGAAAATGCACTTTTATGTGTTAAATCTAAATATTATTTTGGCTAAGAAGCAAGATGGAGCTTCATTTAGTTCTCCTCATTTCTGGCATGTGCAGTTCAATTTATGGATAGTGAAGTATGGTGAATAGCTTAGATCATTGTCTTCTTGGAAATTGAATCTGTGCCTAGCAAATCAAGCCATAATGTCATAACAATGACACTGGTAACCACAACAATAGATACACAACAACAACAACAATGCAATATTACATTCAGATTTAAACAAACACTGCAATACAACAGTAACACCAACAAATACGGGCCACACTCTACCGAGGTGGGGGTTTGCATTTTTGCATGTGATATTATGCTGGGGGGTTAAAAAGCCTTACAGGCACATTGCGTCACACACACAGGACTCTGTACCCTCAACCTTATTTTCACTGAAAAGAGGTTGTGATACATCAACAAAACTGTCCTTCATTGTCACAAATCAAACTCATGAAAAGTAGGTTCCTATAACTGTGCGTGGCTGTGTAATAATGTTTCACAATTTCAATATTCATTCTCCGTGCTATGGCAAAAAGGTTTTCTCCATGCTTCAAACTTGACTGACACCAACTAAGAATCCCATAGGTCCCATGCACAATTCATTTTCTCATCTTCATCGATCGAACAACGTTGGCTAGGTCATCAGAAAATAAACTATTTCAATCAGCACTGAGGAGAAAGTGATCCTTTGTCGAGGCTCTGGATAATTAACATTGGATAAAAACACAGCACTCGCTCCAGCACTCCACCTTTATGATGATTATACTATTCACATGCAACTGTAGAAATCTCTCCATCCAAACGGGAATAAACTGGGAATTTTCTAAATTGAAGGTTGGCTCTTCGTAGGGAACTTAAATATAGTTGGGGAAAGTATATTTTAGCATAATCTTGACTAAAACAAACAGATGCCATTGAAGTACACTTGAATATCCATGCCATTCCTCAATCACATGCACATAGCACACTGTTTACTGCATGGCTATTGAGACCACACCCCCTACAGGCACTGTGCATTCCTCCATCACATGCACACATGATTTCTAGAAGTAATATTTAACTCAACATGTTTTTGTTCTTCAATGAAACAAATGATTGTTCAATAAAATAATTTAAACTTGTTCTGTTCTACTTACAAATAAATCTGTTGAAATGTCATGTTTTTTTAATGAATCATTTTGCATGGATGTCTTCTTATGACAAAACAAAATGTTTATATTTATGCTTGGATATGATACAATTCGATTACTTTACCCTCAATTCCCATAAATAGTTTCCAATATGGAATATTTCCAAAATTCCCCAGCTTAACTTCCCATGGAAATTTAACGCAAACTTACCGGAAATGTACCGTCCCTTTGCAACCCTACTAAAAACACAGGGATTTTTTCTTTCCTGCAATCTTTCAGCACTCTTACTATTACTCAGCAAGGGCCAGCTGCTGACACAGATGGTTTTATAGTCCACTTGCAATAATTAGACTGGGATAGCTGTCCAAATATGTCAAATCACCACAAGAACACGGAGAATATGCAGTGTGTTGTGAGTGGGTTTAGCTAAAGACTAGCAGTGGGGAAGCAGGGGGACACCATTAGCAGACACAAGCTGAACTATATCGCAATCAGCCATTCTTATATTGTTATGCCCTATTTGCAATTGTACTCTGCATTCCACCAGGGAAAGGCATATAAATAATAACACTTGCTGTATTGTTACATTATGCATCTCAAAGTGTATAGACCATTAGCCACGTTTAATCTTTAAAGTTTAAAGCATCTGCTGTTCTGTTTAGCTAAAATGACAAGAAGACCCTCCACAAAACAAACCAAACTATTGCTTCAGCACTAACCAAACACATCTAGAAATGATCCAGCTGCCCACATTCTACCCTCATCTGTGTTCTAAGAGGTGGGAAAATAAATGGACATAATGTGTTACTGAATTGCAGCACACAAGCTTGGTACAAAATGAAGAACTGCTTTTTTAAATCATTGTGCAGCTGTGTTCAGACTGAACATTCAAAAGGAAAGGCCTCACTTTAGAGAATTCCACAAAAGAGATGCCCTTGGTTACCCAACAAGCAGCACATTTGTATGAAACTAGCCTTATATTCTTGGGAGGAGATGCACTTTTAGGGCTTACCTCTCTCATCTTGGTCTCGGGGCACTCTGAGTGCAGCGTGAGGGTGGCCCCCTCGATGTTGCGCGGCATACGAGTGGAGCCTGGATTTATCGTGAACTGGATCTGGTCTGGAGAAATAGTGTGGTGCACATAACCCTGTGACATCCCAACAGGGTCCGACATAAAAACCATAGAGCCATCCTCCTCATCTGCTTCCCCTTCAGTGAGGAAGGTGACCCCTTCCTCCTCCCCTCCACAGTGACCCTCCTCTTCACCTTCCTCATCTAGCCGGATAGGGTCCCGCTCAATGAGTACTGTGGTGCGGTCGTACACCCGACCAGATGACGACGAAGACTCGCCGAGCAGGTTATCATCTTTGTCAAAGTGGATCTTGTCTTCGTCTTCATCTTCATCATCCCGCCCCAGGTGTTCCACCTCTACCTCAAAGTACATCGTCGCCTCAGTATGAGGACCATTCTCACTCATGGTCCCTGGTGCCTCTCCTTCCTTGGCAAGGAGGACTGCACACTCACACTGTAGACGTTACAGCCTGAAATATACATTTGAAAAAGTATTATGATATATGAATTATGTGAAGCTTTTGAAAGACATATGAAAGCATTAAAACAGTACTTAAAAGACACAATGTGGTGTAGGAGGCTCATTGCAGGATTTTAAAAGAGTCTTATTTAAGTGTTGACTGTTTTATATCATTAACCCATATTTGTAAACTAACTTTAGGCATTACATAAATGTAGTAGAGTAAAAGTATAATATTTACCTCTGAAATTACCTACTCAAGTACCTCAAAATTGTATACAAGTACATTACTTGAGTACATGTACTTGGTTACTTTACACCACTGCTGGCGAGACACATCCTAAAATATGTGTGCTATGTCTAGTGCAGGGCTTTGATAATACACTCAACACGAATGTAAACACGTCAATGTGTCAATCAAAAGGAGGTTAACTATTTCCAGTAGAGAAAAGGGGAATAGTCCATAGTAAGCCAGCGATTATTAGGACACATTTTAGGGGAAACAAACGTTACTGAAACCAAACCGAGATCTAGAACTTTCTGATTTCGATGACAGTCACGAGACTACAGCAGCGGCTAAACCCAACTAATAAACATGATTATTTCTAATCGATTAAAGCTCTCAGGTTACCTTTTCATAAAACGTTATAAGTCTGAAAGATGTCACATTCACAAGACAATGCCAGTTTACATTTCAGTACTTGACATGACTAGCTAACGTTTACAAACACAACAGTAGCTTGATAAACACGCAGTGATTCTCAGGTTTATAGACTGACAATACAGTAATGTTAACTTAATGTCACGGTACTTAGGTTAATAGCCTTCACTGTTAACAGGCTGTATACAAAAATCCGCTGTTTGATACTGACCTGACGTTGTCTCACACAGTACATCTTGGTTACTAGCCTCAGAGATATGTCGCTAGCTTCCTGCTGCGAATATCAAACAGTAGGTCGTGTAGATTAAATAATATTATTATTAGCACTTCTTAACGTTGTGCGACTTCTTTGCACAGTCCACATAACAGTTGTGTATTTAGCTTGCGCGCTCCAGAAAGCAAAATATACGTACTAGCTTTAACGTTAGCCAAGTTATCCTGTTTTTCTCTGCACATGCATAGCTTTCCTAGCTAGCAACAGTTTTGACGTACAGCTAAGCTAGGGAGCCACATCAAGCCCCCAGGAAGTGCGTCGGACGTTGAAGCAAATGTTCGTAGTGGCCAAACGGTGGTACTACAACTCACTGGGCCCATACATACTTCTTCCACATTGACTTACATTGGGAAAGAGACGTCTGTAAATCAGCGAATATATGTTGTTTAACCAAATAAACTTAACAGCACGAATAATTTCATAGCCCCTTGTTTAAATCACTAGTCTAATCTTTTAAGTAGCGCTGAAAGCGGGGATCCAGAGTTACCTCTGACTGAACCGAGAGCTGGAGATCGGAGGCGTGGCTTAAGGAAAACTCGAGTGCGCATGCTCCATGGGCCCACATACGGGTACTTTTTGGCTTCAAGCGTCAATGAGCAACTTTCATAGGAATTAACGGGGTCCCGCCTCCAACACTGTATCTCGTTCCCTTACACAGAGAGCTACATTCTGCTTCACAGCTAAGCTAGACAGTTAGCTAGAAACGTTAGCCAGTCGACACAGTTGACATAACCTATCTAACCAGCAAAAATAACAAGTATCATGTTACCAAGTGCTAAACTGACTACACACAGCACTGCGCTAACGCTTCAGTTTAGTAGTCTCAAAAAGGAAATGACAATAACATATATTTACCTGTTAAAATGTAAGCCTTATCCCTATGCTTTGGATGTTCAGCACTTTCTTCCTATCCCCTCCCTAGGATACCAAACAACGTCACAGATTCACTCATTCGTGATGAATCATGGGAAATTAAATAGCATTACTAATGTTTAAATAAAGCATATTTTTGTATGTGACTTTTCACTTTTTATTTGGCAAATTTGATTCTATTGGCTACATTTAGAGAAGTGTATCCTCAGACAAACACACCTTATGAAATAACTAAACCTATTATTTTAGTGTTCTCTATTGCTGAAAAAGAGACACAGATATTGTTTTCAACATTTTTATATATAAAACAATATGCTGTTGAAATCAGAAACATTAAAATATGCATTCTTTTTTAAATAAAAAATACAAATAAAAAAATGTTAGGTCTCTACAGATTTGCCATGATATACATTTTACTTTGTGCCTCAACATATCACAAACATTGCCATCTGTGAAACAAGCTTATATAAGACCCGTCGCTTACAATAATTATACTATATATCTATACAAAGAGCCATCTAAGAATATAAGAAATTATTCCATTGTTATTTCAATACGGGACTGTACAATTTGTAGTGTTCAGCTTCAGCGTGAAGGGCAAGAAGGAGAAGTCCTCCATCTAGGAGGAGCCTTAGGCCAGGAAGTGCTGGAAGAACTCCTGAGTCTTCCTCTTTTCTGCAAAATCCTGCTTCGTAGGCGACTTCAGGAGCAAGGAGGCAAAAATGGTGGCTATGCAGAAAGAAAAACAATTATTCATATTGCATCCCAGAATATAATATCTTGATTAGCAGTGACTCTCTTTTTTTGTGGAGAGATATGAAGAAAGACGATTTAATACATTATTAATTAGATAAATAAATAAAAATGTCATATGTACGTTGCAACATTTCATTTTGTTCTATAGTTTATTTCATAATCAACCATTATTTTGGGTAGGTTAGGTGAACGGACATTCTATTTAACAGAAACTAATTGTTTTACTATTAAGTATTAAAACATATTTAGTGCAAACAGTCCTTGAGTCATAATCAAAACATAATATTAAAGTGCACCTATCATGCTATTTTTAGGCAATAGCATAGGTCTCAGATATATAAAAAAAATATAAAAAACATGTCTATGAAGTGTTTTGCTCAAAACACCAAACAGATCACCCATTCTAGCCATGCCTCATATCCCTCTATTTCACTTCCTGTTTCAAAAGTGCAGATTTTGGGTATAAAGCTTTAAAAAAAATAAGAAAAAAAAAGAGGAGGGGGCTGAGCTCATGCGGGACCCGGCAGCTACTGTCTAAACTAAATACTGCGGTGATGAAACGCCATATCATGGATTATCAAGGATTATTTCTGAAACAGTATGGAGCGCAAAGGCTTTCTCTCTTGCCGGTTATACCACAAGGTCAGTTCCTTTTTATTTCCTGCTTCTTCACACACGCTCTCCAGTACAGGTTAGCTCTGAGTGTTAGCGATGCTAATGTAAACACCGACCATATTACGTCCAAAACAGTCGGGCATTGTTTCTGATAGCAACTTTCTGATAGTGCCGTGGGTCCACATTTCCGATATTACGTCATATCGGACGCAAATCTGGATCAGCTCCGTTGTACCCCCGTTTTTAGAGATTTGGGTACGGAGGAAAAGAGAGAGGGTTTTATTTTCTGACGCTGCGTGAGTTCCCCGACACACCAGGGACACATATTTATGTATAAAAGTGCATTTTGCATGATAGGTCCCCTTTAAAAACAGGATTTATATTCATTTCACTTTCGTATTTGTCAGTTTCTCTTCACTTTTTCAACATGCTGACTAAAGCAAAAGGCATCAGCTCAAAAATAACACACGCACAAGTGAAAGAGACTGAAATGCGACCCGCTTCCTTTTCTTACCCAAGATGTTGACATCTAATCGATTGCTAGCAGAATTCTTCAACAGCTCACGGAGAAAGGCAGCTAAATAGTTGAACACATTTTTATGGCACTGAGGTAGCATGGAAATGATCTGAAGACAGAAAAAGTAAACATCTTTTAAAAAGGATAATGATTTACTTGCATAATTTAACATATAGTAATTGATAAATAGTGATCAGAGATTAACCACATGAGGTCTTACTCACTTTCTCACACTGACTGGCATTGGAGCAGCTTTCTAGGCACTGCTGGTAAAAGGAGAAAGGAACCACAGGCTGCGGGAGGGCATCTAGGAAGAGAAGCAAGGCCTCTGCTACCGAGTGGTTACTGCCCGCTGTGCGACAATACAGAGTCAAGGACAAAATACTAGCGCAGAGTCTGCATTTTTTTAAATTTGTAGCTGCAAAAAAAGTATGTAATTCATTTAAAAAGTCCAGCCTCACCATGAATAAGAAAAAAAACCCAGTAAGAAATACTTTTGCAAGTGCTTTAATTAGACAGAAGTACCCATGTCCCTTTTGTGCTACACTGTTCAAATATAATAAACATACACAAGGCTGTTTTCGATTGATAGTAATGATTGAAACAGTGTTGAAGGATACGAAGAGAATCTGGTATGCCAGTATCAAGGCAATCCCTTATCACTGCAAATTCACTCCGGAGCCCAGGTTGCTGAAATATGTCTTCCTGCAAATAGAGGACAGAAACATTCAAATAGTTTTAATAATATTAAGAAAATTGCTCACTTTGTTTGAGGTGTAGTGGAGCTGCAATAGACTTAATTAAAATGGTTCAAAAGGACAATGGTATGTTTAAATTAGTAGAAATAGAGATTAATTATATTAACCACATGAAGACCACTCAAAGATCTACGGATAAGTTTTTCTTCCAATTTGTTTTGTACATTTTTTGTGGACTCATCGAAAATCTTTAAAACTTTTTTGTATAATAATAATAATAATAACATAATTAAATTTAAGGATATAACCCTGCATACAAAAAAAATTCTCCAAAAGAACCAAATCGGACTATAGTGTTCATTGTTTTGATTAAAAGGAGAACATTTTGTTTTGTTTTCTCACCTGTTTGAGTGCACTGCGGAACAAGTGATCCACCATCATCCACAGTTCTTTAGGAATGTCTAGAGGCTTTTCTGTGTTTTCAGCATTCTCATCTCCAGACTTCTCCGCCTGATGTTAAAAACAAACAGATCAAAGATAAGCAGTTCAGTC